CCCCAAAACCCCAAAACCCCAAAACCCCAAAACCCCATTTTTATGAAATTTTCTTGAAAATATTTTAATATGTCTCAGACAAAAATTGAGAAAATACAGGAAATGCTGAATAAGCTATATGCCAGCTGTGATAACGGTCTCGAACCTACGTGTACTCTTCTTCCTTCATAAATTTAGTCATGAGAAGGAGAGATCTGAAGAAATAAGTATGGAAATAGTGCCAATGTGTCTATAAACCGGCCTAAACAAAGCTTATTGCTGCCTGTGCAGGACAAACCTTGTCTTAACTTCAGTAAAGCTACTTACAAAGCAGGTATTTGGTGGCTTAATTTTAGACAAAATGATGGAGGAGGCTAAACCGCTTGAATTACTTGTTTACAACTTTTTAGAACCATATAATAATCCGAAACAAAGTATTATCTTGAGTAACGTTTAGCATCAACTCAGAAGAATTCTGCAACAGATTTGTTACAGAAGGGAAACTTCAGGCTCAAGAAGGCAGCTGTCAGGCGCAAAACCAACAAAAAGAAGGATAACTGGATTTGGAGTAACCAATGAGACAAGAATAAGCTCCCGGATAACCTTATGGGTGGGCTTAATCTTCGACTGAAGGAGAACCTTAAAAATTGATTCTCACTCATAAATGATAAAACAGAATCTCCTAAGTAATGTTCTGAAGCTACTCAAGAACAAGCATTCTCTTGCTGGCAGCAATATGAGAAGAAGGGTCACCAGAGGTGCCCCTTTACTCTCTTCCTCGATGCAGGGAATTCCTGGCCCAAGAGCATCAGCGATGACCCCAGCAAACCCAAAAATCATCGAGCTTCATGGAAAGTCTGGAGTTTCTAAATAAACAGCATAAGAGGTCTAAAATGTCGATTATGCTGCTAAATTCTTCAAAGAGAAAATCAACCAAGCAGCATCTTCGTAGCAGAGTCAAGGAACGCCATCATGTGAGTTACGGAGGCAATGAAAAGTTCTCCTCTTCTGTGAAGACTAACGAGAGTAATTCAAACTTTATTTTTAGTGACTGATACTCGGTCTCAGATTAGGAGAAAAAGGATGAACAAGCTCTTGACAGATCATGGGTATAGTAGGACTCCCCAGACTAAGACACCAGAAGTTGACCAACACATCACACCCATTCAGAAATTGAAGCGATGCATTAGGAAGATCACATTGGCAAACCGATTCTTGGATTCGACCTATGGGTCTGTCAAAGTCAAGGTAGAGCACGATCATTATAAGACTAAATACTTGCATATCCTGGAAGTAATGTTCAAGACAGCTAGAGAATGCTACAAATGCAGGTTCAAGACAGGCTTCCTCTTGATTTACGTGGAGATCTTACAGATGACAATGAGGGTTCCTGACCTCCAAAGTGCAGTACATGCTTTCTTATCTCTCAGCCTTGTAAGTTTTTACTTCAAGGACAACATCAATGCAACTTTCGCTCTCCAGCGCTTGATAGGTCTCTCAGAGCAGAAGAAAGACTTCCTCACAACTGTGAAGGCTTATGAGATTCTAGCTTGGATTTTTGAAGATAAGAAAGAATTTAAGAATACAGTTAAGTGATATAAAAATATGCTCAAATATGCATGGATTTTGGAAAATCCCAGCATTGAGCAGGAAGCTTATGATAAACTCTCAGTTCAGTACTTTCACCTTGGTAAGATCAAGAAGAGCCAGGAGTACCATAACAGGTATCTAAAAGGGTATATTGAGCCCAAGGAATCAGGTATTCACTCCTTAACCTTGCTTAAACATCAGCATAAGATGAGAGATATGGAGAAGATAAAGCCAAGGGAGACAGACTACAAGCATGCTGTCTCTTACTCGAAAGGCTTTCTGGCTAAAATTAAAGATTGTCTTAGTCAGGAGGAGAAGAGCAATCTTGGTAAGTATCACTTGTTTTGTGAAGAGATTGATATCAGAAAATATAACCTATATGAGCCATTACTAGATCTCGGCCTTGTAGTGTTAGTAGCTTCTTTAAACTGGCTGGTTAGGCTACTCACTTTAGGAGATGTACATTTTAAGAGTTGAACTGCATTGTTTATTAACAATTTAGTACTTTCATGATTCAATTATGAGGAAGGGTTCAAAGTAAGGATTCCAACTCCTGTATCAAGAATGCAACTCAAAGATCTCCCATCACCATCTACTAGGGCTGAGGATCCTAAAACCAAAGAAATTCGGAAAAGTTTAATGAAGCATGAATTATTCAGGAACAAAAAAGCATCCCTTAGTGGAGTTGGCCCGATGATAGGTAAGGTTTCAGCATTATAATCTTCTTCCTTTGCCTGAATTATACTCTTTTGATATTCATGTCTCTAGTCATGCCTCAGTTCTTAGAATTAGGAGCATTTTATTTAATATTTACACTCAAGTCTCTAATTTCGTGAAAGATCTTTGAGCGGGTTTCCAGTCATTTCTGGCATATGATATCATAGAAATGATTATTACAAATTTAGTAAAGAAACCTTGAGCTTTGACTATCTCTCAAAATATAGATGATGACTATCTGAGGAAGAACAGAAAACAGAGAGAGGAGATTTCAAAGAAGGTGCAGCTGTTGACCTCCAGCACTTCTCCAACAAGGATGACGCCTACTGGGTCTCCATCGCCACGCAAGTGTATGTCTAAACAGCTTTAGAGAAAGGAAAAACTATCTTTATCAATGGAAGGGAGATAATTCTGCGTAATAGCATCAATTCTGGAGAATCTACTTCATTATGCCAGATCTTCAATCAGCTCAACAGCCAGAAGCAGAAATGCAAAGACCAAGAGCGGGAGCAGAACCTTCTAAAGGAGATTGAGGCCTCCTTATCTGCCTTCCAAGCCTGGATTACTCATGAGAAAGGTTATGTTTTCCTTAAAGTTGAGAAGATCTTTAAAGGAGGACGCCTGGTTAAAACCAAGAGGAATTATATTAACAAAGAAGAGTATAAGAAAAGGAATGTTCACAGATATAATTTGATCTTGAACGTTTTCATTAAGAAGCAAATTGCGGTGTAAATTTCTGATTCAATTTCAGCCCCTAGAAGGGGTTTTGGGGTTTTGGGGTTTTGGGGTTTTGGGG